CTGACTGCTGGATCGTGAGATATCTTTGATTTAGTAAATAAAGTTTTTTCGAACGTTATTGTAATTTTATAAAAATTAATTGGCCAATTATCATGTGTACGGATATGACCAATTGTTTAATTTCATGTGATCAATTATCCCTGTACTTTTATTAGACAGATCGGTCCTGAGTCACAAATTTCAAGTTTGGAAGTTTGTGCTACCACGATTGTCCACCATGCTATATTATTTATATTGTGTTCTACATTCGTGTAACTTCGGGATAATAAATGCCTATTATTTATTTATATCGTGATCTACGTTCATGTAACTTCGGTATCATGAAACCCTAAAACCCTAAAGTTGTTTTATGAACTACAGAACTAGGGGCCTTTTGATCTATAGAACATTTTAGAAACTCTTTTGCTATTAGCATAGTAAAATATTGTGTAAATTGAAGGTTTTGATAATTTTATTGTGTAATTATGTTACATCTAATAGTTATCTGTGTATAACATGATGTACAAAGAATAGTCTCAAAACATTATAAATAGACCCCTTTCTATCCACCTTTTTCAAAAAAACTTTTGTAGTTCATATTTTTTTGGTTATATTTTTTACTCTTTTTTGCATTTTATCTTTTTTAATTAAAAATATCATTTGATTTATTTGATCTTTCTTGTAAAGATATATTTGATACTTATAAAACTAAAGGTGAATTACAAGCACTAACACTATTACGTGAAATTGGAGGTTGTTTTATTTCTCAGAAACCTATTTTACCAAATGGTGATGGTAAAATAGATTTACAAGGATATCGAAAATATACTTATTATGTAATACAAATCAAGTTTTATAAAAATCAAGTCTCGGATTATGAAGAAAAAAAAATTGATAAATTTGTCCAATTTTTAAATGTGGTTAATGAAGATTATCCAAATGTTAATGCTATTTTTTGTAATACTTTTGGAATAGAAATATATAAGGATTATAATAAAAATAATAGAGTATTTTTTGTTGATTCAATCAAAGAAATTATTAAATTGATTAAAAGTTCTTCAAAGGGAAAACATAAAGAAGTGAACTTGTTTAAATACCACAAAATAAATTAACTGAAGAAGAAGATATTGAAAAATATTTAAATGATATGAATGAAAAGTCTATAAAATTATACCCAGTCAATCATGAATTCAAATTTCCCTTCGAATTAAAAGAAAATGAAAATGAAATAGGATATTTAGGAATAGACTTTGTTAGATTTTATGGTTCTAAGCATCCAATTTCAATAAGAAATGAAAGTTCAATAGAGAAAGGTAATAATGATAAATTAAATAATGATAAATTTAAATTATTAGAAAGATATTATCAAGAATTTTTCGATGCCATATCTGCATATTTACAACCCGATTATTTGGGAATTTTTATAGTCTATAAATCATTTTATAATGATAAAAATATGGACAAATATCTACATTATGCACTTGTTGATCAGGAAATTATTCTTTGCACAAAAGCAAATATTTCTGAAAAAGTTGCTAAATATTTTGAATATGATTCAGAATTTGAAATAAGATATTCTATGAAACGAAAGTTTGATAAGTTGGAAAATAAAAATAAAGAATTAAAAAATGAGAACGATGAGTTGAAAAATAAAATCGAAGAATTAAAATATGAAAGAAAAAAATTTAAAAAGAAGATCGATGAGTTGGAAAATAAAAGAAAAAAATTTAAAAAGAAGATCGTGAGTTAGAAAAAAGAATTAAAAAAGAAGATCGATGAGTTGGAAAGTAAAAAATTAAAATATAGAATTGAAAAATTAAAAAAACGGGTAAAAGAAAAATAGAAAAAATAAAATTTACATTTAATCTTTTTCAAAAGTAACAAATAAAATTATAACGATAAATTTTTTCTAATATTGTACAATAAAATGAATTTATTATAAAACTAAGGATGAAAAATAGGATAAAAAAAAAAAATTTGTTTTTAGAATTTTCGAGTAATATTAAAATCTTTGAATAAATAAAAATTGTTAAATTAGCAAGAGTCAAAAAATAGCTCTTTAAAAACCTATTCTCTCCAAATTCATGCAATGCAAGTTGGCTTAACTGTTCTTTGGAGTATCATAGGTTTTGGTTGCGTATTATCTTATTATCGATACCCTTGTATTGTCCTTGTTGTGCCATAATGTGCTATACTGTGCCACGCTCTCGGTCTTGATTATTTATATTATAAATGATAATTATAATAAATTATATATGTCTAATTGAAGTGAGAAAGTAACTGCGGCTTGAACCACAACCCAGGCTACAAGACCTGAAGGAATTTTGAAAACAAGACCAAAAATATGTATCTGTTACAATAGCATTGCTTATATTGGTACGATCAACATGAACAAGTACAATAAAGTACATAGTTAAATGAATTTTTTAAAATATAAAAAACTTTGTATATACAGATACTGTCGGACTTTCAATAATAATTTGTGTACAGTTAGCCGCTATCATCATAATAGATTTTCCATAGATGGCTAACTGTATACATAATATTATTGAAAGTCCGATGACAGGTTTATAATTAAACTAAAACATAAATATCAAATTTTCTAAGAACCCTTTTTTCCATAGATTTAAAATCATAGCTCGCTATATCTTGGTTATTAATTCCCTTTTCACTTTTTTTTCTTTGAATGACATTTTTTAAATATTAAAAATTTACTCTCAATTATTTTATATATATATTTTTAATTTATATATATGTATTATACTAATATATATATATATATATATTTCTTTGTAATACTTAATCTCAGCATCATAATTAGTCAGTAAAGAAGATGAATAAAGTATTCCATTTCATCCAATTTTTAAATATAAAGGTTCTAATTGTGGCTGCAACAGAGTTAGGAATAAGTTACGAATTTTTTTTTTCAGAATATATATCTATTTCAAATTGACGAATCTCTCTCTAAATTTATCTGAGAAATTAACACATAAATGAATTCAGAATAATTTTGGTTACGATCAAATTTATGAATATTTGTTACAGAAGCTATTTTTTATTTTATTTCACAATGTATTATATGACTACCTGTATTAGCATGATGAAAATTAAATAATACGTAATAAATAACGATAATGAATATTATTTTTATTATAGTATGATACCAAGAACAAATCAAACTTTCACCGATAATAAAAAAAAAAAAGAAAAAACTTGCAATTTTATACAAAAATATCAAGATTACAGATTTCACAAACCTTATCGAATCGGCCAAATAGTTATTTGGACAATTTTTTACAAGATGCTCTGAAAATTTATAAAACAGCTGTAAACTCATTGAATATAATTAGCTTCTGAAAATAATTTAATTATGAGCTGATAAAACCTATATGTATACGTATGTAAATCAGGTTCCTTGTTTAATGTAAAGCAGATTTTACCTTCATGTAATAATTAGAACGAGTTTTACTAACTCAAAACAGGTGTTAATACCTCACAACTCTACTTCACAACTTTCTCACTCCATTCATTTTCATATAGCCGATAAAAGATAGTTAATTAATCAATTCAAACTTCCATCACATAATCATTCATATGACAATATGATCATTTAATAATCTATAAATGGTGTTTATGAATGAGTGATGCCCAAATTAAAATCTAAAGGTGAATATTAAGTTTCACTATGGCAAATTGATCATTTTTGTGATTCAACTATGTAATATTATAATTTTTGGATTAGGTTTGCCACAGTGAAAACTTAAATATTTACTTCCTGGTTTAATTTGTCAGCACTTAAATTAATAATAATATCAAAATTAAAATTTACAATCTAATTTTATAGGAGCATGTGAATTATTCAGTTTTGTTGTTCTCAATCTTATTTGCTTCCAAAATAGGTAGGCTAAATTGTTATTTACATTTTATTAAACGTGTAATAAACTAATTTCTTGTATAGATTTATAAATTTGTTAGTCATGTGGATTGTGTATAACCAAAAATACAGAAACAAATACTTGATAGTTTTACAATATGTTGATAACAGAAATCTTCAAAACAATATTTATAATAAATTACTATGACTATTAAAGAATGGGTAAGGAAGCAAAGGGTAATTATATGATTCTGAGTATGTGATCATTAATGTTTTAAGGGCCTTTTGTTAGAAAAAAGGTTTCACTTTGTAGTGAAAGATGGCTTTATTGTCCTATTCTTCTGCCCTGTCTCTTAGTAATTCATAAACTAAGGGATATATTGACTCTGCTAGCAGTGCAAGGACCTTATATTTACAATTAGGCTCCGGCTGCCGTAGATAATGCAGGTAACTCGTGTTTGGTGTTTAAGCTTCATGGCTGCCATAGACAATGCAAGGGCCTATGTCTTAGTTAGGGATGGCAGAATTCATGATTTAAATCGATTTTTATGATTTAAAAATGATTTGCAAATGATTTAAATCATTCGGACCTGAGTACGTAATATATATTTAATTCAAATGCCGGCGATTTTTATTATTAAAAACATTGCGCATTAAATGTATTATACCGTATATATTTAATTTAAATGCCTGCGATTTTATTATTAAAACGTTGTATTTATATATATTTAATTAAAATACTGCGGCTTTTATTATTGCGATTTATACATTAACGTATATATATTTAATTAAACTCTCTACATCTTATTGCTCTTTCCTTTTAATTGTCATTTTCATCGTCATCATCAAAACATGTATCTTCACCAATGCCTTTTAAAATTCTTAAATTTTGATAAATATTTACAAGTTTCTTCACCCGATCATTATCTAAATGTGCACGATGTTTAGTGTGAATGAATCTGAAATTAGACCAACATCTTTCAGCCGCAGCTGAAGAAGTTGGAATCGAAAGAACTTGACAGGCAAGTTCAACTACAACAGGAAATTTGTTTGAATAGTTCGATTTTCACCAACTTATTGAATTTGAATATTTAATAGACCCCCAAAGCAATGGCCCAGAAAATTCATCAGTTTTTGCAATATATTTTTGAAATACACCATAGATCTTAACAAATAATATTGTAATTAAAAAAAATAATAAAAAAAATAAAAAATTAAAGAATTTATAATACTTACGCATACTGCAGTTTCAAATACATAAACTTTTTCAAGATATGGTACGATTATAGTTTCAAGATCATTGATACCTAAGGATTCCCTGCAAAAACTAAAATATAATAAAGTTATGTTTAATATTAT